CCCCCCCCGGGGCCTCCAGTCTCCCAGCTCCCAGCTGGATGCCCACCTTAATGCGGGAGTCCAGGAAGGAGGTGCGCTGCCTCTCGCGGATGCGGTACTGGCCCAGTCTGGCCAGCTGCTCCGGCCGGTAGAAGATGCCTGAGGCCCACTTCAGAGCCGCTCCCCGAGCCAGCTGTTCGGCCCGCTCCTGCTCTGGCCACTCAGGCCCTGGACAAGAAGAGCCTGGCCGACAGCAGTACCAACAAACTAAGTTCTCCCTCTTCCTGCCCCCCTGTCCACTCTCACTGCCCTACTGAGTTCCGCTCAGGCTTGCTTCACGGGACGGTCCCTATGGCCCCTGGCTGCCTGACCGTCATCCCTCCCCTAGCCCCCCTGGAAGGGCTCCTACCAGCAGTCAGTGCAGGCTCCATCTCATCTTTGGCTGCTGGGTCCATGGCAGGCTGGCGGGGGTGGGGTTGGGTGGGGGGTAGAAAGCACAAGCTAGGGTGGAGTGGGTCCAGACAAGGGGGTGCTCTTTGGAGCCCAGCTTTGCTCTCTGGCCAGACTCCTCAGAAAAAGGGGCAGGTGCGTGTGAGGGGGAGGTACCTGGAAGGCCTGCCTGAGTGGGTGTTTCAGTTGGGTCCCGGTAGGTGGGTCCAGCCCTCCCGGCTTCTGCTCCAAGTTCCAGAGGTCCGTTTGGCGTGGACCTCTGCAGTTTTGACCAGGCACACGGTCCTCCCTCCTTTGCAGACAGCTTGGCCTTGAAAATGGCCTCTCCCCCAGCCCCAGGCAGAGCTGGGAACACCCTCCGCTTGCCCTTGGGGCCTCCAGCCCACTCTTGGGCACAGAGTGGATCTCCTCTCAGACCTCCTTTTCCCAAGGAAGTCTCACACCAACTCCCAGGCACAAACACCGCCCCTCCTACTCCCCCCCACCCCACCCCAGCCACAGGCTGGCTGAGAGGAAGGAAGCCAGAGGACTTTATTCCCGACAGGAAAGAACATCTGAATTTGAGCGGAATGGGGCGTGGGAGATAGGGTGTATGGGGTAGAAGGGGTGTGGCCTCTGTGGCCATGGAGCCCTGACCAACCCACCACAGTGGTACCTCTTCATGCCCTGGACCCAGACCTAAAATGGGCTCAGCTTCAGCCAGGGCAGGAGTGCACGGATATGGACACCACACAAGCACCTTGTGAACGAACAGTGTTGGCAAGGTGCTCAGAGGTGGGTGTGCACTTCTGCTGAGGAGGGGCCTCGAGCTGCTGGGAAGAAGGGGTGGGGGGACACAGGGGACAGAATGGCCCTGAAAGGTGACTGAAGAGCCAGTCTTATGTTGATGGCTGCAGGAAGCCATGGGAGGGACTCATGTACTAATGAGTGCTAATGGACGAGTAACTGGCCTAGTAATAAGCAGTACCAGGGTACTAATATCTGAATGCCATGGTGTGGCCACTCAAGTTCACCTCTCCCCACACAGGGATCACCCAGAAGCTCTCGGTCGGTGGTGGGGCCAGAGGCCTGGCCCACTTGCCTGAATTTGGAAAAAACCTTCCAGCTTCAGAGCTTCCAGTAGGATGAGCTCCTTTAATTATTACCCCTGCCCAATTCTGCTGGTCTCCCTCCCTCCCTCCCAAGCGGGACAGCTCCCTGTCTCAATGTCTGTTTCCCAGAGACCTTGACCCAACATAACAATAAAAAGTAACAATGTTAAAAATAGTCAACTGATAGCAGCCAAACAGAGTCCTCCTGCTGTAGATACACACGTTTGTTTTGGCTGAAAGGGGCTAGAGGCCCGTGGCAGTGACTGCACAGGGTGAAGTTAGAGAGATGAATGAGGCTGTGGGGCCATTGCAGGGATGGATTAAAGCGGACCAGCTGGATGGAGCTCATGCTTCCTGTTTGGTGGCGGGAAGTGAGGTACAAAAATAAGGTGGGTGACTCCAGGAAGGTTAGCGCAGTCTCTAGGAGCAAGTTTGAGGGAACACGTTGAGGTCATCAGGCACTGTTGTCTCTCGCCCCCCTGAGATGAGGGCGGTGGTGGAGTTAGTAGTGTTGAGAAGGTTGGCAAGTAAGGTGCCAGCGTCCCCGCCTTTCTGCTACATTCCTCCCCCACGAAGTCCAGTGACCCTTGAATCCCTGGGTTGTTTTCGTCCTCCGTGGTGGTTTGTCATTTGCTGATGGTCCCTGGAGTTCTGCGGTGGTACCCGCAGACATAAATTGTGCCACGCTCCCTGGATGGGCGCAAGGCGGAAGCGGAAGCAGCTACTCTGGCGCAGGCGGCTGGGCGCCCGGAACGGAAGCGGAAGTGGCGGCGGGGCCGGCCAGGCCTGGCCTGGCTGAGGGGAGGCGGCGGGCGGGCGCGATGGCGGAGGCTGGGCCACAAGCGCCGCCGCCCCCGGGCACCCCAAGCCGACACGAGAAGAGTCTGGGACTTCTCACCACCAAGTTCGTGTCACTTCTGCAAGAGGCCAAGGACGGCGTGCTTGACCTCAAGCTGGTGGGGCCCCGCGCTAAGGGGGGCATCGGAGGGGATGGTGAACCAGGCCCGGGTCGCGAGGGGGACGCCCCGGCGGCCCCGCTAGCAGGCTGCCCTCCGAGCGCCTCCCCCAAAGCTGGAGGCCGGCGGCCGTTTCATTCATTCGATCAGCGGCAATGAGCGCCGGCTGGGTGCCGGGCGCGGGGCGCAGGTGCTGGCCCGCGTGGCCCTCCGGTCTGGGAGAAGAGCGTCGAGACACCATGTCGGGCCTCCACTGGACCCCGAGCCCCGGGCTGCAGTAGTGCCCGAGGGAAGGCTTGCGACCCAGGCCACCCCCATCCCAGACTCGGTCCCCTGGTAGCTGGGGCCCAGCCGAGCGGGCGACGCAGGGGAGCGTGCGTGTACGTGGATAGCTGGCTGGGCGCACTTGGCAATGGCGCTGAGCATCCTCTACTCCGCTCTGTCTGCCAGGCAGCTGACACCCTCGCCGTGCGCCAGAAGCGGCGGATTTACGACATTACCAACGTGTTGGAAGGTATCGGGTTGATTGAGAAAAAGTCCAAGAACAGCATCCAGTGGAAGTGAGTTGGGGGTCGCCTTCCGGAAAAGGGCTGGGGCGCGGGGCGGGAGAGAAGCGAGCTCGAGCCGCAGGCGCGAGAGCAGCAACCCCAGGCCCCAGAGCCCAGGACCGCTCCTCTCAGCCCGGCTCCTTGGACTCAGGGGCGTGGGGCCCGGCTGCAATACCCGGGAGATTGCGGATAAGCTGATGGAACTCAAGGCTGAGATCGCGGAGCTGCAGCAGCGGGAGCAGGAGCTGGACCAGCACAAAGTGTGGGTGCAGCAGAGCATCCGGAACGTCACGGAGGACGTGCAGAACAGCTGATATCCTCCTGGCGGCCCCTGTCCGGGGGGGCGTGGGCCACGGGCCTTGCAGGGAAGGATGGCCCTGCAGCCCCAGCTGGGGGTTTCCCTTTTCAAAGCTCCAGCTGTGGGCTCTCTTCTCAGAGCTCCACCCCTCTCAGTCTTGGCCTTTGATCCCTTCCTCCCTGTGGAAAAAGCCCCAGGTCTCTCCCTGAGGACCCATGTGGCACTACTGCTAAAGAGCTGGGTCCTCTTGGTGCTCCACTCCATCACCATAGGCAGGGCACCCTACGTTCTCCTTAACCCGCACACTTTGGCGTACGTGACTCATGAGGACATCTGCAACTGCTTTGCTGGTGAGCAGAGCTGGGCAGGGGGAGCCCTCATGGGGCTGGGCCCTGAGCTTGGGGTAAAGGGTTCAGGGAGGGTCCTTTCTCTTCAAAGGCTCTCTGGGTGGGCCCAGACAGGCACCAGGCCGGGGTCCACTGGGATGTGTCCACGCTAAGCATAGTGAGTGGGTCCAGGGTCCAGGCCGTGGAAGAGTCTTCCCCCGTCGTGCCTGTCCTGGGCTCTGCAGGGACTGTGCGCAGGAGGGAGGCAGGCTGGAGAGAGAGTGGTATGTGGGTGTGTTGATGTGGAAGGAGCATTGGCACTGACTTCTACCCTGTAGCGCAGTTGTATTCTGGGGCCAGGGGTCCTCCCTTCTCCCTTTGCAACCCCGCCCCCCAGCAGCCCCAGCAGTGAGTTGCCTGGGGCCCTGTGGCTAGTGAGCTTGCACTCCGAATTGTTGAATACAGATCACCTGGGTTCTTGGCAGCAAAGGCCTTTAAATCAGGGCCTCCGCCCTCACTTAGCCTCCCAGACCCATGAGCTCCTGCCTTGCTCCAAAGGATTGAACCCATGCGCCCTGACCAGCCCCCTTGTTGTTCTAGGAGACACCCTTCTAGCCATCCGGGCCCCATCGGGCACCAGCCTGGAGGTGCCCATCCCAGAGGTGGGTGCTGGAGGGCGGATGCTGGCTGTGGGGTCTGATAAGTCCCGGGTGGGGCAGATGGGGGCCGGCTTAGAGTTTGGGGTTATCTAGGAGGACGAGCAACCTGGGGTGGGAGAAGATACTGGGACCTGGCTCAGGGTCAGGCAGGAACCCAGTCTGCCCCTGCCCCCTACGGCAGGGCCTCAATGGGCAGAAGAAGTACCAGATTCACCTGAAGAGCACCAGCGGGCCCATTGAGGTGCTGCTGGTGAACAAGGAGGCATGGAGCTCGCCGCCTGTGGCCGTGCCGGTGCCACCACCCGAGGACCTGCTCCAGGGCCCACCTACTGTTCCCACCCCTCCACTGCTGCCCAAGCCTGCCCTGCCTCAGCCTCAGGAAGCCTCACACCCAAGCAGCCCCCAGCCGGCTGCTCCTGTGCCCATCTCCAGCAGCAGCATGGAGGCCCAAGGAGTGGCTGCCCCAGCAGTAGAGAGCACAGGTGAGGCAAGGGGCCACTGGTGACAGGGTGAGACCCTGTGGGCTTGTCCATGGTCCCCACTTCACCTCCCCTGACAGCTGGGTTGGAAGGGGCATTGGAAGTAGCGCCGCCCCCCCCACCCCTCCCAGGTACCCAAGTGCCTCAGTAGCCAGTACTGGGCCCCAGCCCTGGCCCCAGTATCTAAGTCCCTGGCTGCCTCTGTGGAGGAGTTGGCCGAGCCTCCCTCCCTGTGCCCGGCACCAGGTCAGCCTGGTGGTGGCTCTGGCCCAGCTTCCTGCCCACCGTGTGACGGTCATGTGGTTGCAGTGACCTGCGGTCCTAGCCCCGATAGCCACGACAGCGGGGAGCCGGGCGCCCTCCCCCTGGACCCGACGGCACTGGACACTCGGCCACTGCAGTCCTCCGCCCTGCTGGACAGCAGCAGCTCAGCCGGCCCCAGCCCTTCTACCTCCTTTGAGCCCATCAAGGCGGACTCCACAGGCGGTGAGTATGGCCCCCCAGGGCCAGGGAGAACCCAGGCCTGGTCAGCGACAGATGTGGTCCGTCCCCCTGCCTCCCCCCAAGCCCTCCTCTATCCTCAGCCGGAATGTGCCGGCTCAAGGTCTCAGCTAGCCCAAGTGAGTGCCAATGCCCACTGTCCTCTTCCCAGACTAGCACAGCCCTCCATGCTCTCTCAGCTCTGCCTGCCACCCCTTAGACTCGACCTCTGCGGTGCCAAAGGTGGCAGTGGCCTCCTGGGGAGAGGAGTGTCACCTCCTTTGTCTTCAATGCCTGCGCCTTCCAGACTTCGCAGTTGTGAAGTCTCTCTTCTCCCCCGTGACCGTCTCACATCCCTGTGTCATAATCAATGTCATTGCGTGTCACAGTGCCCTCGTCACCTTTCAGGTCGGCTCAGGCCCTGCTCCTCCTAGCGCGCTGCATAGGCTCCGGCTGTAACAGTGCCGGCACTTGAGCCTGCAGACTCCTTCCCTTCCTGGCCTGCTTCTGGCACTCACTTGAACACAGGCACAGTCCTCGTCAAGGGAGGGCCTCAGGCCTGCCAGCTTGCCCCTGGGTGCCAGCCTCTCCTAGTACTTCAAGCCCTCAGTCCTCAGCTGCGCTCCGATTGTTCTCAAAATGGCAGTCCCGCTTCTGTGCACACCTTCCTGTCGCCCTGGCCTGGCACTTAGATTGTGATTCTAGGTTCGTCTCCTCCCTCTGCTCCCAGCCCCTCAATGCACTACCTCAACCCACCAGC